GTTGCGGTCACCGGTGTCCTCGCGGTGTTTGACAGTTTAATGAGGGTTGGCGATTTCAAACTTATAATTAGAAATTATAAGCCCAGGTTTCCTCACGATGTTTTTCTACACCGTTTGTCAGTGGTGTCTAGATCTTAGAAAGTACATATAACTCGGAAAAAGTCACTTGGGTACTTGCCGTTGGTAGGTTTCGATGCCGCATCCTGATGCATGAGAAGAGCGCGTCTTAAACCTCTGAGCCACCACGACATTTTTGTCATACTTCTGTGCTATGAACCAAAGTCAAAACCTTATAACTCATTCATTGGACCAGTAGGTTCATTTTTTGAGACGGAAATGTCATTCAGTGTGTTCTCCCGTTTTAGGTGAGTCGGGAGGGAGTGTTAGACTCTTACTGAATAAAACCAGTCTGTTCCTACCCATAATAAGGTGGACCCACGTAGCTCGCAGCACCGGGACTTACTAGGGCGGATGCAACTGATAGGTACTGCAGTAAAATGTAAGGAATAAGTAATCGGGATGGTTTCTAGTCAGTAAGAGCCTGTCGCGGAGAACCTAACGGGTAACCGGGGCTCCGGCTCGACGTGCAGGACAAGGAACGGGGTGGTTTTTAGTCAGTAAGAGTCTGACACTCCCTCTCGCCTCACCCAGGCGGGAGCAGTTATGCGAAGATTTTCCCCCCTTAAAAAACAGTCAGTAAGAGTCTGATACTTCATCACACCAAACCTAGAGTGGGTGCAGTCATTCGATGAGTTAAATAACCTGGGTTTTTGACCTTCATAAAACTAACGTTATGTATCGATCGCTATTCATATACAAGGTGTAGTTTTGAAACCGTGACATTTCTCGGGGGCATGTCACAGAAATCATAAAGGTTCAATGTAAGAGAAAATTTCAGGCCAATAGTTAAAAATACGGCTATAATAAATCGTTTAAGTTCGACAGTATTTCAGAATAACCGACAGCATGATGTTTCTTATTGGAGTTTTATGGAATTAGGAATAATATCAATTACGTGTTTGAGTTTGTGTGTGTTAAGCCGCATTATAAAGCTAGTTATAAGACGGCGGCGTGTAGTTCGCACTTACGGATTTCCGTAATTTACAGAAAATTTAAAAATATTTACATACAATTTTTTTATTGATTCGGACTCCGAATCGGTAGCCGAGTTAACTCCTAGAAAATGACGCGGGTTTAAAACAACACCTTGTATTTTGAACATAAATCTCGATGTATGTGTAGGTAACTTACCTCTCTTGTTTATGTCATTACTTTCGTGAGACATACTAAATTAAATATTATGTTCTTCGGCTCTTTTCGGCGTTTTTCGGCTACGTCGCCGATCGTGGAATGCTGCTCGTGAATATGAGCCTCTAGCATGTCTTGAAACTAGTCGAGTTCCTCGTTAAATAATTACGTGGGTTAGCCGAAAAACATGGTAATTAACCTCTATTGTAATTTGAAATTAATGACGTAATGTAATTTAAAAATGGCGGTCACGTGGTATGTTCGCGCCAAAATTTTTGAACCGTAGCCCGGCCCGCGGCTCGCTCGAATGGACTCCGCGCTCGCACCAACAGTCGCCGCCGAAACGAGTATTAAAAATGCACCGCGTTCCCGCCAATTTTCTCAGTTTCTTAAATCCATTACAGAGGCCTTAGTACGAGTATGTTCCATGTTTAAAGTAATCGTGTCGAGTACGCGTTCGACGCTCTGATTGGTTGGTTTATTGGCGCCGGCCAATCAGAGTGCCGAACGCGTACTCGTTTCGAATAGGTACTTTAAAAGTAAAACAAATTCGTACTAAGGCTTCAGTATACGTGTATGTGAACCTGTATGTTTGTAAACGCACCCACGACACAGGAGAAAATCCCAGTGTGGGGGCATCGTTTTATAAAAAAAAAGTTTGCTTGACGTAAGTTTTGTAATAGGTATGTACATGAAATATGGCAATAGGTACCAAACATTTATTTTTAAATCTCTATATCAACTGTCGCAAGTGCCATTTTTTTATATTTGTTGGGCCGATGTTTGACCAGTATTTCGCCTTGTGGCTATTTTGGTTATAGTGTAAGAAATGTCGGTGTAAGAAAAGGAATTGGGTTGATGACAGAGTATGAAAATTAAAATTCTAATTAACTAGTCCGTAAGTTAGGTAATGACAAAATATTAGACACGTATTTTTTTATTTTGTCGTACCTATAATAAAACAATGCTTAGATAAAACAAATCAAAGTTTAAGAGTGGGGGCCAATACGTCATTTCTACGTTTAATATGTATGTACATAGAAGTGACGTCACGCGACATTTCAAATCAATATGTCGTCGAAAGTATTCGTTTCTGTAATTATACGACAAAATAAAAATACGTGTCTAATATTTTTTCATTACCTAAATTACGGACTAATCAGATTTTAAATTTTCATACCCTGTCATCATCCTAATTGGACGAACAGATTTCATGCTATGTTATCGCCACCTGGTGAGCAACCATAAACATCGTTGTATTTATTAGTAAGTATTGGAATGTGACAAAATAAAACAAATAAATTTTTCTATAACGTTTTTATTGAAAAATCTACGTAAATATTGTTTTTAAAATACATAATTACATATGTACTTATAACAGAGGGTTAGTATAAGTTTGTCTTTCGTTTAAAGTAATCGAAACGATACCGCGTTCGGCGCTCTGATTGGCTGGCTCTAATGAATCAACCAATCAGAGCGCCGGACGAGGTATCGTTTCGGTTACTTTAAACATAAGTCAAACTTGTACTAAGCTCACAGAGATCTATTATTATAATTACATTGTGCATTACTTAAAATTATTTTAAATAGATTTCAAATACACTTAGAACGTACAAAATTTCAACAATTTGTTTATATATTTTTATAATAAATATCGTGAGACATACTAAATTAACTAAGAATCGCGGGTTACTCACCTACCTACTGTAGGCTGTGCGACATCGCCGCGAAGAACCCCTCTATGGTTCGAAACTAGTAGAGCTTTTCTCAGTATATTCACGTGAGTAACCCGCGATTTTTAGTTAATTTATTTATACATACGGGCCATCCATAAATTACGTCACAATTTAAGGAGGAAGGAGGGGGTCGACGAAGTGTGACATTGTGTGACAAGGGGGTGATCCAAAACTTTATGATGTGACATTTCAAAAACTATTATAAATCGCGTTAAAATACGAAATATAATTGTTTTAATGTTTTTTTTTTTATTTTGTTAATTGATTTGACATTAATATTTTTTTTAAGTAATTAAAGTGGAAATATAAATAGCAATAGTTTGTATACTATAACTAGCAAACCCCGCGAACTTCATTTCACCACCAGATAGCTTCGTTTCATGTAACATTTCGTTTGGTGATTAAAAAATGAAGAAAAAAAAATTATTTCTTGAATTTTCTTTGCTAAAAACTCACGGAGCCCGAGACCTTTTCTAACGAATGCAAAACCGTGGCAATCGGTTCGTGCGTTCTGGAGTTATAGCGTCAGGAAGGAAAACCCGACTTATTTTTATATAGTAGATACTAGCAAATGTGACGTCACACTAGGGGGGGGGGGGAGGCGCAATAAAATCATGAATTTCGTGTGACGTAATTTATGGATGACCCCATATTAAAACTTTCGTGAGGCATACTGAATTAATTATTATGTTTTCGGCTTACTCACTTAACTGTTTGATGTGGAACTCTTTTTTTTATGGAATAGAAGGCAAACGAGCAGACGGATCACCTGATGGTAAGCGGTCAGCGCCGCCCATAGACACTCTCAACACAAGATGAGTCACAGGTGCGTGGCCGGCTTTTTGAAAAGGAACACGCTATTTTCTTGAAGGTTTGAAGGTCGTATCGGTTCAGAAATACCTCCTAGGTTTTAGTACCAATGCGACAGTCGCCGCGTCATGTAACGCGGAATGCTGCTCATGAATAAGAGCCTCTAGCATGGCGTGAAACTAGTCGAGTTCCTTATCAAACAGTTACGTGAGAGCCGAAAACATAATAATTAAGTTGTCTATACATATGTATGTTTTTGGATATGTTGTTTCTTGCATACACAACATCTTACCTTTTATTTTAACCTCGAAGGGGTAGACAGAGGTACAATTTTATAATGTAACACTTACTTTTCACTATTTATCTTATGAGTCCCATGTAATAGGGAGTGAGCCTATTCCTAAACACAAGCACAATTCCAAACACCTCGCTATTAATGAGAACCTTTGAAAAATATCACCAATATTATGCATGGCCCAGGAATAGAACCTGAGGTGCTTGGCAGCAGTAGTCCTTGACCATCAACAAATAATCAACATAACATCACGCCTTTTATCCCCAAGGGGGTAAACAGAGGTGTACATCATGCCACTGTACAATGTAACACCCACTTTTCACTATTTATGTTATGAGTTCCATGTAATAGGGGGTCAGCCTATTGCCATATACCGGGCACAATTCCAGACTCCGTGCTTGCGTGACTTTGCCCGACCCAGGATCCCTTGTACGGCAGTCGCACTTGCGAACACTCAGCCAATGAGGCATTTAATACATATTACATAAATATACTAAGTTTTCAATAACATTTAAACTTACAAACTACCAAACGCCATTTTGAAAATAACGGCGCATTTTAAAAGTACCTTAGACATAGATATAAATATCGCAACAACAAATTTTAATTCATCGTACAAATTGCTTTAATAAAAATTACTTATAATATAAAATCCAACGCCATTAAAACTTCATCTGTAAGTGTACCTCAATATCAAAAAGGCCGATATCCAAACTCTCTGACCAGAGACAAGAAAATTTAAACGCAAAGGCACGCACCTGTACAGCCTGTCAAGTTCAACTCGAACTGTCAGTGTCACTGTCACTACTGTCATGTTTCTTCTTATTTCTTTTCTTGTCTTTGTGTTTTTCTTCGTGTTTTTCTCTATGCCTAGGACTTCTTTTTGGGCTGTCCCTACGCACCCGATGATGTCAAATGCCTGAATCATCAGTCGTGTGGTGAACGTTGTTTAGAGATTCTTCTGAACTCTCCGATTTTTGCTTTTTCTTGGTCCTGGAAATACAAGAGAGGTTTTGTCTTAAGTTTAACGTTATATCCCTGATCAAATAGGTTCTGGATGTATCTTTTGCAGACAGAGATTTAATTTTCGAGACAGGCAAAAAGATTTTAGAATGGACATTGTTGTAGGTGTGGAATAAAGTGGAATTTACTTTTAAACTGTCAAGCACCAAGCGGTCACCGGTGAGGTACTCGACGAGTTAAATAATAAATTTAGATAGTACAACCAACTTTGTTTTAATGATGCCCACAGAGTAGTATTGCCAGCTTAACAAGAAAGAAGGCGCGAAATTTTCATAGAGTATACAGTACTAAACATAGACAAGTAATATTTCAACAGACATGATATCATATCGACCCGAGGGCTAAGCATGAATAACTATTCATTCGACTCCAGTGAACCAACCAATGAGACGCCGGTCGTGCTCAATACTATATTACGTAACAAATGTGATAGTTAATCGTGGTTGGTACTCGAATTGGCGACATATTAAAGAAGTGTCAAATTAAAAGTACCCTTAACCGACGAGCATGCATAAAAAGGCTGATGACTGTTGATGAAACGAAAGAGATATGTAACATGGGAGACAGGCGTGAGGTTATGCACGTATGTATTAAGTTAATAGGAGTCACTCCCTGCACAGCTTTCGAAATCTATTCTCGAAACACCGGAGAGCCTGTAGACTAAACTAAACGGACGGGGAAACCTAAAGATACAATTTAGATGGTATGCTATTAGAGAGGGAGGCCTATCTCCAGTAGTGGAAGAAAACCAGCTGATTTTGGTGACGGGTGAAAAGGACATAACACTCACCCTTTCTTCTTTTCATTTTCAGTCGAAACTTGATCCTTGAACAGTTTGGACAGCTCCAATTCTTTGATTTCATCCGAATTTGTTAAGATAATGGCTCTGAAACAAAAATCATGTGTCACTCGAAAGAATATGGAGACAATTATTTTTGTATGATATCAGATGGTCCGTCTGCTCGTTTACCGGCTTTTTTTTTGTAAGGGGGGAAAATCATCTATTTATTGCTCCCGCCTGGGTGAGGCTGAAGGGAGTGTCAAACTCTTACTGCCTAAAAACCACCCCGTTCCTTCTCCTGCACGTCGAGCCGGAGCCCCGGTTACCCGTTAGGTTCTCCGCGACTCCGAATCGGCATCGGCCCTATTGGGCCCCATCTGTGGTGGTCTAATGGCTCTTTGAGGCGCGCGCGGAACGCGACGCGCCGTACGCTCGGGTCTGTTTCTGGTCGGACGGGGAGCCACCCATGCTCGCCGTCCGCAGGCCCGCGCTTACGGTGGCCGGAGATCGTCCCGCGATCCCCGACGCCCGGTGTGTCCTCCGCGATGGCTGGGTCGCGAGGTCGTTTACCGGCTTATCCCATAAAAAAGTCTCGTTAAAACTCATTATCGATTCGATACACACTCATAAACGACATGCAAACAAACAGAACATCAAACTCGATAGCCTTCAAAACTGTAATCTGAACTACTCAAACAAAATCAAGCCTTCTATCAATATTTACTTGGGTACTTAAGTGATGGCAAAGTAGAATAGATTTGTCACAATCTAGCTTCATCATAGGGCTAATGCCGTCACGGAGCCGCGGAGAACTTAACGGGTTACCGAGGCACCGGCTCGAAGGGCAGGAGTAGGAACGGGGTGGTTTTTAGTCAGTAAGAGTCTGACACTCACTCTCGCCTCACCCAGGCGGAACAAGTCATTCGATGATTTTCCCCCCTTTAAAAAAATCGTCCTTTCTCTGTAGGAATCTACACTTTAGAACGAGCAAATAACTTCACTAGAGGAGTGACCAAAAGTGCCTTAAATTGCACTAATTAAAATAAAATGTTCTAATGTAAGAGCTTCATTGTCAATGCTCAATCAGTGTGCTACGTAAATTAAGGTAAACAAATCCGTGTGTATATGTATGTATAGCAGGGCGCCCTATACAAACAGATATACAGATTATACGTACATCTAGGGATAGGTAACCCCATCGTTTGCCGCGCCCTCGTAGTGATGGGACTGTGAGGTAAAATGTCGATAGATTTTTGTTTGTGTATAAGATTCGTATTACATTTTTTGACTACTCCAGTAGGTGTTCCATTGTATTTCATGAGTATGTAGTCTAGTTAACTGACTGCCTCGTTGGCCGAGTGGTCGCAAGTGCGACTGCCGAGGAATGGGTCTCGGGTTTGATTCCCGAGTCGGGCAAAATACTACTGGGTTTTTACAAAATTCTCAGTGGTAACACGGAGCCTGGAATTATGCCCGGTATTTGGCAATAGGCTAACCACCTATTACATGGGAGTCATAACATAAATAGTGAAAAGTGGGTGTTACATTGTACAATGGCATCTTATGCACTACACCTTCGAGGATAAAAGGCGTGATGCTATGTTATGTATGTACTGTAGTTAATTTTTTATACTCCTGAGTAACCTATGGCACATGAAGGTAATAATAGAAAATAAAAAAAAGCATGCATTATTTCTTTGTATAAGTTATATTATGTGTAGTATTATACTGATAAAGATTATAGTAATTTTTAAGTTTACTTATAATGTGTAATTGCATTTATTGTATTAGGTGTGCCTGTGATGATGAATGTAATGTTTAAATATAAATAAATAAATAAATTTTAACGGACTTTTTTCGTGTTCGTGTTCCGTAATCCTACTATCCTACTTCCTACTATTATAATAAATGTGTAAGTTTATGTTTGTTACTTATTCACGTCAAAATTGTTTTTATGGCATAAGCCGGTAAACGAGCAGACGGATCACCTGATGGTAAGCAATCAGCGTCGCCCATGGCCACCTAGAACACTAGAGGCGTTACAAGTGCGTTACCAGCCTTTTGGGGATTAGGAGTTTGAGGATCATTGGGGATTCAGGGATTGGAGAGATTGGGGAAGGGTAGGGTAATTGGGCGTCCGGTAACCTCACTCACACGACGAAACACAACGCAAGCGTTGCTTCACGTCGGTTTTCTATGAGGCCGTGGTATCACTCCGGTCGAGCCGGCCCATTCGTGCCGAAGCATGGCTCTCCCACAATTATGATGCATGGATAATATGAATGGATGAAGGGATCGCGATGAAATTTGGAACAGGGGTCGATTATGGTCTGCAATAACACATATGCTACCTTTTATCCTACGGAAACATTGATGAAACCACTGGCTAAAGCTAGTATAGTGTAATAGCAAATAGTGGTGGCTTTGAACATGCTTCTCCTTACTCCTTTTTTTGCGGCGGAAAATCATCCAATGACTTACTGACCAATCTCTTAAGGTGGATGCTTAAATAGACCTAGCCATACATTTTTCAGGTGTGGAAATCTCCATAAATAGTACTTGCAGAATAAAAGTAACTAAGTATAATGAGACTTTATCATGTATTATGTTCGCGTATGGCCCATATTTTATAACAAAAACAGTTTTGTGCAAGTCCGCCACAACCTCCCAAAACTGCTGCAACTCCTGTAAGCCAGGATCTACAGTAGATACAACCATGAAAACACTGGAACACTGAAGTCCGGCGCGTCCCAGGGACATCAATAACTGTCTTGGTTCCCGCAAAGAATCAGAAGGTATTATTATAAGAGGAGAAGAAAAAAGCGATAGTTTCCACTTCCCTCGGAGAATTACTGCAAGAGACAGAATGAATTAAGCCTTAAGGCACAAAAAAGAGACTGTACAACTGAGTGAAGCCCAGTCGCCAAGCACCACGGAAATTGGACTAAAAACTAAGAGGGTCCTATGTGTAAGCTATTATACTTGTTTCCAATAATAGGTATGGCAAAAGCGCCTAAACGCAAACAGTTTTGTACAGTGAAACGAAAGACGAGTATCAGATTCTTATTGACTAAACCACCACCCCATTCCCACTCCTGCACGGAGCCGGAGTTACAAGACCCGTCTATCAAAACTAAAAACAATTTATTTATTTATTTACACTCTTTGTAGATATACAACGGCGGACTTAATGCCTAGTGGCATTCTCTAACAGTGAACCTTAGGGTGATGCAGAGAGACTTGTGTCTCTCTGCATCTAAACGTTTAAAACGTTTACACCTACTATTGTATAGTAGGAGTAAACGTTTTAAACACTTATTAGAATGACACAATAATTAACATTACATATAATTAATTAATTTATCTCGCACTTCAAACAAAAAAATATCGATATCAAGAAACATCGATACATCGCCGCAGCACTAACAAAGGTTGATTTCAACGGGTTTGTGTCAAGGTGATGACCGTCCGTTCTGGCGACCCCTCCGTTATATACACAGCTTTATAATATAAGTATACGATACAACACATTCAACGAAATAGCTTTACTTTTCAGTGTAGTCGAATGGACACGGATTTTTTTATGGAATGAATCGATAAACGAGCTGACGGATCACCTGATGGCAAACCATCGGCGTCGCCCATGGATACCCGAAACACCAGAGGCGTCACAAGTGCGTTACCGGCCTTTTGGGCTATTGGGAATTTAAGGATTGTGGAGGATTCGGGGATTGGAGAGACTGGGGAGGGGAGTAACCTCACTCACACGACGAAACACAACGCAAGCGTTGTTTTACGTCGGTGTTCTGCTCGGCCGTGGTATCACTCCGGTCGAGCCGGCCCATTCGTGCCGAAGCATGGCTTTCCCACATATAAACTATATTTAACTAATATTATACTACTTAAACTACTAGGTACGAGGTTCCATCCTCTGCTGGGGACATACTATAAGGCCTGTATATATTGTAAGGCCTACTTTATTATCTTTGTGTTTAATATTTTTATTTTTTTTCGTTGTATTACTTCTTTTTAGTAATATAAATATGTTTATTTTAACTAGATTAAGCCTCACTGTCGAATTGGGAAAATTCTGTAATCAGAGTATAGGAAGATTTTTATAATAAATAAATAAATAAATCATCAACAGCCTATAAATGCCCACTGCTGAGCAAAGCCTCTTCTCACACGGAGAAGGTTTGGGCATTAATCACCACGCTTGCTCAATGCGGGTTGGCGATTTCAAACTTATAATTAGAAATTATAAGTCCAGGTTTCCTCACGATGTTATTCCTTCACCGTTTGTCAGTGGTGTCTAAATAATATTAGAAAGTACATATAACTCGGAAAAAGTCACATTGGTACTTGCCGTTGGTAGGTTTCGAACCCGCACCCTCATGCGTGAGAAGCGGGCGTCTTAAACCTCCGGGCCACCACGACGAATAAATAAATAAATACTGATTATAGCTAAATATTTTTTCTCGACAAATGTACTATTCAACACAAATAATTATAATTGGAACTATTAAAAACTATACCAATTCTTAAGCCAAGGATTCACTAGGAGACAAATGTAACATGTATCGCCAGCGACGTCGGGTGAAGTACGGACACTGGCGGTACTGGCAACTACCGGTACTTTTTTTTTATTGGGACAAGCTCGCCACAACCTCCCAAAACCGCTGCAACTCCTATGCACCAGGATCTACAGTAGATACAACCATGAAAACACCGGAACACTGAAGTCCGGCGCGTCGCAGGGACATGAATAACTGTCTTGGTTCCCGCAACGAAGTGAATTTTGTTGACCGCATCAACTGGTACTGGCAAAATCTGGCGACGTTGCCAGATTTTGGTCGATATGTCTGGCAATATCAAAAAAGAAGTTCAGAATAGTTACCCACTTTTAACCGACTTCAAAAAAGAAGGAGGTTCTCTGTTTGACCTGTATTTGTATATATGTATGTTTGTGATTATTTCGCGACTGGATAAACCGATTTTGATGCGGTCTGAAAAGTATTTGTTACTAGCTGTAAAGAAGGTTTCAGCATATTAATCAATCGACTTAAAAAAGTTGGGCTTGGTTTTTTTAAACGTATTTTATAAAGTGTTGACACTTCACTCCTCGCCTCAAATGCATACAACCCCGTCCTATACAATAACAGTCAGTCATATTCCATCAACAGTCCCGTGCATATGTACTGATGATGATAACAAGAAATATGAATAATCTCACGCGAACGTAGTCGCGGGTAACAGCTAGTATGTTAAATTACACATATAATTCCCAAATGTTATTTCATTTTTCTGCACCAAATTATGTTCAATTTATGAAAACAAAAAATACTAAAAAGCGACCATACAATCAATTGAATCAATCAAAGGAACTATTGAATGAGTTAACAACAAATATAATATGTACCTATTAATTTGCTAAGTTTAAATAATAGCAATTTTGTTCTACGAACTGCAGTGTTTTTTAAAGAAGAGAACTTAACATATGAAAGAAATATAAATCCTAAGTGAAGTCACGTAATAAATGATAGTCGTGAAATATTACAGTAAGGCCTATGACTCATACCGTAATAATCTTTTGAAGTTGAACAAAAGCGCGACCCTGCATAGATTGGATCGGATTAGCTATTCTACTGTATAGTAGTTAGACAGCCACACCTTGAACATAGTGTCTTTATTAAAGAACTAGCTTCTGTCAGCGGTTTCACCCGCTTTCCTAGGGGTAAAAAGTAGTCTATGTATTATTTCAGAAGATAATCAATTTATGTTCCAAAGGACATTGCTCTGATTCCATACATTGTTGGCTCTGGAGCCAAGAGTATCAGATAAATATGTATTGTATCCTCTATCATTTGTAGACTCCTAGAAGATCTTGTTTTTATAGCGGACTAGCTGCAGAAAAGGTATCCTTACTTTCCTTACTTATATTATAAATCGGAAAGTGAGTTTGTTTGTTTGTTTGTTCCGCTTTCACGCAGTAACTACTAGACCGATTGCTTTAAAATTTTGCAGACGTAAAGTTAGAAGTCTGGATTAAATAATAGGGTAGGTTTTTATCCCGGAAACAGTGATATTTCCTAGGAAAAACAAAAATATTGGTATAGATGGCGCTGTATGTCATTGAAAACCAGTCAACGAATTACCTACTTATTGGAAAAATGTAAATAGCGCGATATAACCGAATTCCACGCGAGTGGAAAGCTATTTGTTTGTTTGCCTGTCTTAAACGGCAGAACGGAGGTACTAATTAACGTAATTTTTTAACTGAAGGTAGTTGAACGGATGGATAGTCACATAGGCAAACTTTTTATCCTTTTGTGACGCGAGCGAAGCCGCGGGTAAAAGCTAGTATTTCAATAAAAGTATCAGATTTTGAGGTTATAATCTAACCATAACTACTAATATTTGAACGAATGTTGAATGTTTGAATGATTGTATAGAAGTAAAGAGGTTTTGATTATACTTATTTTGATTACTGTATTTACTGTATTACTGTTACTGTATTTACTACCTATTTAAATTGAAGTATGACAGCATTAATAAAGAAAAAAGAAACACAATCGATCGATTATAATTGATTGGACATCCCTATTTCATTTTCGATACGACATGACATAGGACTTGCTGATTTATTTATTTATTAGATTAGGCGAAGGTATTTTACATTAGGCGAAGATGGCGATCTAATGTTATTAATCGCGTTAAATTTTATTAAAAGTACGTTTTGGAATACAGCTAGTCTGTGATACAGAAGTATTTATTTGCAACTTATATAATAAAATAGGGGATTAATTATCGTATATTCTGATATTCTTTATTGCACAGCCTCATTTTGGACATTGTCTATTCATTAAAATCAAACCATACCTATGGTATCTTAATCTACTCCTATTCCTTATACCCGTTGCGGACAACCTAACGGGTGATCGGGGCTCCGGCTCGACGTGCAGGAGAAGGAACGGGGTGGTTTTTAGTCAGTAAGAGTCTGACACTCCCTCCCGTCGCACCCAGGCAAATTCATCGAATGAGTATTAAACATAAACACAAACACACTAAGTTTTGCATTTATAACATTACTACATAAATTCATCGAATGACTGCTCCCGCCTGGGGGAGGCGGGAGCAGTCATTCGATGAATTTCAACCTTTAAAAAAAAATCCTTATACCCCGATCGTACATACATATATTAACAGCCTATAAGTGGCCACTGCTGACCAAAGGCCTCTTCTCACACGGAGTTTGAGCATTAATCACAACGCTTGCTCAATGCGGGTTGGAAATTTCAAACTTATAATTAAAAATTATAAGTTCACGTTTCCTCATGATGTTTTCCTTCACCGTTTGTCAGTGGTGTCTAAATAATCTTAGAAAGTACATATAACTCGGAATATGTCACATTGGTACTTGCCGTTGGTAGGTTTCGAACGCGCACCCTGAGAAGCGAGCGTCTTAAATCTCCGCCGATATATCCCAATCCCTTTAGCCATTTTGAGGAGATTGAGTATTAAACATGTTTCGCATTTATAACATTACTGAGATCCACTTTTGACTAGTTATTTTATGAGTCTCATATAATAGGGGGTGACCTTATTGTCTTGGTTCCTTGCTATAACTGAGAAATATCCAAAAAATTCGCAATAATATTTTGCTTCACATTAGAACCACTATAACCGAACCCCAACTCGAACTTGGCCATCACACTAGAAAATTAACTGTAATTTCATTAAAAAGTCCCTGCGTAGCATTTACTATGACGTAGCTAATGCGTAGGTGACCTGGCTACGTCGTAGTAAATGCTACGTACAATAACGTGGATTCAAGAATACAAATAATATATTTTATTTTATCATATAATCTGCCTCGTTGGCCGAGTGGTCACATGTGCGACTGCAGCGCAAGGGGTTTCGGATTCGATTCCAGAGTCGGGCAAAGTATTACTGGGTTTCTAAAAAAATTGTCAATAGTAGCACGGAGTCTGGTATTGTGCCCGGTATATGGCAATATAGGCTCAATTAGGAAAAGTGAGTATTACATTGTACAGTGGCAATAAGTGCCGTAATGTGCACCTCTGCCGGTAGGCATAACATCTTAGGATGTTATGCTATGTATATATGTCGTAGAATAATTTGATACTTCGAATCTTCGCGGAAATCCTAGGGGTTTTGCAAAAACGCGGATAATTAGACATAGGCGAAAAATTATCAAATCTTACTGGACAAAGTCAGGATTTTTTCGAAAATACTCATTACTATAGTAAGATTGCGAAACGAAACGCTGGCTGTTATGAAATAAGAACGCTGATTGGTCGGTCAGCGCGTTCAATAAGAGATCGTCTCTGATTGGTTGACGTCTTAAATGTTTTTTCGTCGTCTTAAACGACCAGTTTCATCCAATTTATGGATTACACCCTAAAATTGGATCATTTTTTTTTTACTACGACTGAGATCTCCTATTGTCTGTAGAAAACAACATACATACTAAAATTTTCAATAAAAGGTTTATAAAAATCAATTTAGTGATTTTTCTTTCTCACCTATTCTAAACCTTCATAACTCTATGATACAATACTTGAAGTTAATCATCGGCAAACTAGGAACCAATTAGAAGTCAGCCAGCAAAATTGTAGCCAATCAGTGTTGAGCACATCAAATCTTACTATAGTAACGAGTATTTTCGCAAAAATCCTGACTTTGTCCAGTAAGATTTGATAATTTTTCGCCTATGTCTAATTATCCGCGTTTTTGCAAAACCCCTAGGATTTCCGCGAAGATTCGAAGTATCAAATTATCCTACGACATATAGATAGTTAAGATAGTCCATTTATCGCGAAAGACTATAGGCTATTAAACATCACGCTACGTTCACTAAGAGTCGAGCAGAGGGGTGAAACAATAGCTGGTATAGAACAATGTATCTGATGCTCACCTGATCCGTCCCCCATCACCTCGATCGTGCCTCCTGTCGCTGATCACAGATATGGAAGTCTCTCCGATTTCATGTTTCTTCTTATGTTTTTTTGATTTGTGTTTACTGTGGAAATTACACATTAATTTAAAAACTGTAGTTTTTCCAATGTTATGTCGATAATAGGGTAGATGCCTAATTTTTAAATTTTTATTTTAATGTCCGTCTGGTAGATTATTTTAAATCATTATACACGTATTTTTTATTTTCTTACAGAAACGAATACTTTCGACGATACCTATATTGATTTGAAATGTCGCGTGACGTCACTTCTATGTACATTTTATATGTAGAAATGACGTTTTAGCCCCCACTCCCAAACTTTAATTCGTTTTATGTAAGTATTATTTTATAATACGTCAAAATAAAAAATACGTGTCTAATATTTTTTCATTACCTAACTTACGGACTAATTAGATTTTTAACTTTCATACGATGTCATCATACCAAATAAAAAAAATCAATTTAAGATATATTTGGATTGATCGCTAATCGTGCACTGTATTTTCTTATATGTGATGGGTCGACGTTTATCCATTATCTCGCTTGGTGGTTAGCGATGATGCGACCTACAATAGAACCCGCCTACCTATAAGCAACCTATTCACTCTGGCCTTGAAGAGATAACTGACATAAAGAGCCAGTGTAAATCAGTCATAATACCCATTTACATTTTGAACCTAAGTTTAAAATGACATGCCGAATATCATCAAAACCGTGAAAGCCATTCTTGAGAACGTGTGAGCAAGCAATTGACTGCTGGTAGATACAATGTACCCAGAGTCACCAACTATATTGGTGATAAAACACTAAAAAAGAGAATACCATATCTATTATACAGTCTGCCGACAGACATAAGGAGTGAAACAAATTCAAATAGGTTTAAACGAAAGTTGAAGTCATATTATTTAGAAATGTCCTAATAGTAAGTAAGTATAAGTGTCAACGTCTGTATGACATTTAAACATGTACGGTCTAAGGTCAAAAGTCCACTGCCACCTTAAGACTACTATCGGTTGCGCTGCAGCGCTTATACACACATGCACACGCATATTCCTATCCGTGTGCGTACGCGTGCGTGTGTTTATGCGTACGCACGCGTGTTTATGCACGTTAATATGAAATTACTTACGCATTGCCGTGTGAACATCACTCACGGTGGCAGTGGACTTTTGACCTTTGACTGTACATTTAATTGTTTTGCCTAGTGATTCGACCCCACAGTCAAACCATTGTAACGGTTTTGTGGGGCTTAGATTATAAAATACTCACCTTTGTGATATAAAGATAATAAAAAAAACTCTTTTAATACTTATATAGATATAGAGTTAATAATTCAATAAAAAAATACTATAGTCAACAACTCGTTTAAACAATGTACTATTGTACTACTACACCTCTCCCTCTATCTCTTTCTCTCTCCCTCCCCCACTTACCTATGTTTCTTCTCCTTCTCCTTCTCCTTCTTGTCTGTGCTCCTATGTTTGGTCTTCTTTCTGTACACGGAGCCACCATTACCCTCATCCACGGTCTCCAAGTGCAAAACATACAGTCTGTATATTTGTAGCAATATTACCTATAAGAGAAAATTCATTATCATCATTTTTTTATGGCATAAACCGGTAAACGAGCAGACAGATCACCTGATGGTAAGTAATCGGCGTCGCCCATGGAGACCTGGAACACCAGAGGCGTTACAAGTGCGTTACCGGCTTTTTGGGGATTCAGGGATTGGGGAAATTGGGAAAGGGGAGGGTAATTGGGCCTCCAGTAACCTTACTCACACGACGAAACATAACGCAAGCGTTGCTTCACGTCGGTTTTCTGCTCGGCCGTGGTATCACTCCGGTCGAGCCGGCCCAGTCGTGCCAAAGCATGGCTCTCCCACAATTAAATGGTCATCATATAAGCTCCTTTTTATAAGTCTTACTCCACACTGGGAGTTTCTACCGTATCGTGGATGCGTTTACAAACATACAAGTTCACATACACATGAGACCCAGACCCGGAACAATAATTTGTGGATCACACATAGTGTTGTACCGTGCGGTAATCGAGCCCTCTACGGACGACAGGAAGGAAGTCAACTGCTTATGTTCCAGGATCTTGGAGAGAAAAGGCAGTATGGAAATAGGTCTGTAATGTGAAAAGGTCGAAGAGTTATTTATTTTTGGTAACGGAATGACGTGGGCAGTTTTCCAAGCAGGAGGAAAAGAGCAAGAGAATAAAAAAAATTGATAATGTGAGTGAGAATAGGAAGAAGGAGGTCAAGAATGGGGATAATCATACATATCAGAGTTAATGGCAAGTGTGGCGACGCATGTCACATGTCAACGGATGACGTCACAAGAATCGTACATCGTACATGTAAAGTTTACAAGCGAATAAACACGGATAGAAAATCCCAACGAACAACTGTTGGGCAGAAAGCCCGCCAGGCACAATCACCTCGACTGGTCGGAGGATCCTCCTTTTCCGATCTTAGGGAACTATACTCTCTGTTCCCTAAAGCAAGCATGGATTAAATATCTAGTGACAGTCCCTTACTGGACTATAAGCCTCCTCTACATAAGAGGATTTGCCATAATATATCCACGCTTTGAGACAGCAGTTTAAAAGGTTCATAGATCACTGCTGCCCAAGTTCTGAAGTTGGCTTTGACGACGCTCATGGAAAGAGTACCGTCGGCGACAAAAGGTCAAAAGGTTAAGTGAAACAAATGGAACAAAGTGAAACAAAGTGAAACAAAGTGAAAAAAGTGAAACAAAATGAAACAAAGTGAAACAAAGTGAAACAAAGTGAAACAAAGTGAAACAAAGTGAAACAAAGTGAAACAAAGTGAAAAAAGTGAATTTATTCCAGCAAATAGGCTACAAGGCAGCACTTTTACACGTCAATTTTATCAAGCGAACGATGAGGCCGACATTTCCTAACTGACTACTCTGAGAAGAAATGCCGAAAAACTCTGAGGTCCATCTCTTTTAAAGTCCAGACAAATATGTATAAAAGATTATGATAAATATCAAAATCACTTACCAACGTATTCTTACACGTGAAGAAGATGTTCATATAGTTTATGATCTTATAATGGCATATGATTAGAAGTCGAAACGCCAAAAACGGTGCATCTTGAAGAGCTATATTCATGATAATGGCACATACTTCGATTGAACAGCAGCACGCCCGACTATTTCTGTTTTTAGGAAAAAATAGACGAGATTAGAAAGGAGTCTGTATATCGGTTTGTTATCAATATAAGGTAAGCAAGTCGTGTAGCTGTGTGGCCGGTGATAAGTTAGTAAAAGGTATTGTGTTATTGTGTGCGTGCTAAGCATGTTTTTTTGGGATAAACCGGTTAACGAGCGGACGGATCACCTGATGGAAAGCAATCGGTGTCCCTCATGGACACTCGGAACACCAGAGGCGTTACAAGTGCGTTACCAGCCTTTTGATCATAACATTTCAAGTGCATTACGCCTTTTATCCCCAGAGGAGTAGACAGAGGTGCACATTACGGCACTTAATGCCATTGTACAATGTAACACCCACTTTTCACTATTTATGTTATTATGAATCCCATGTAATAGGGGGTTAGCCTATTGCCATATACCGGGCACAATTCCAGGCTCCGTGCTACTAATGAGAATTTAAAAAAAATCCCAGTAATACTTTGCCCGACTCGAGAATCGAACCCGAGACCCCTAGCCCAGCAGTGCCACTTGCGACCACTCAGCCAGCAAGGCAGTCAATAAACAATTTAATAAAATATTTTATTCATTCATTTGGTGATTCCGTGAAGTTTTTTGCCAAATGGTGTATATATTTGCAATGTGTTTAAGAATATATATATATATATTTATTATTTATTTATTAATAATAAAGGTACATGGTATGCCTTATAATCTAACGCCATGTCCAACAAAACTATATGTAAATAGTTTGACTGTTGGATCTTCTATATTTAAATTACTAACAACAAATGAACAAATATACTATAGTTATTTAATATTATGTAAAGTATTGTAATAAAATATCGGTTTGAATGGGAAAAGAGATTTTTAGTACAATCTTGTTACGTTACCATTCATAACTCAAAAACGACTAGGCCAGTTTTGATACGGTCACACTATTATTATAAACGTGAAAATTTCTTTATTTGGTCCGTCAATCACTTTGAAACTACTGAACGGATTTTGATGAAATTTGGTATACAAGCAGGGTATGGACTGATTTAGGTGATACGATTTACTTTTTATCGCGATTAAATGTTCTCAGGAGATAAAACAGGAATACGCGGGCAAAGCCGCGGGTATAGCTAGTGGAAGATAATAGGGATGATGACAGGGTATGAAAATTAAAAATATAATTAGTCCGTAAGTTAGGTAATGAAAAAATATTAGACACGTATTTTTTTATTTTGTCGTATAATAAAACGAATCAAAGTTTAGGAGTGGGGGCTAAAACGTCATTTCTATGTATAAAATGTACATAGAAGTGACGTCACGCGACATTTCAAATGAATATTTCGTCAAAAGTATTCGTTTCGTAAGAAAATAAAAAATACGTGTCTAATGATTTAAAATAATCTACCAGACGGACATTAAAATAAAAATTAGGCATCTACCCTATTGTAATGAAAATTGTGGTTAAAATAGTTTGACTTTATCAATAAACAAAACGAGCACACGGATCACTTGAAGACAAGTGACTTACACCCAGCATAATATGTAATATACAAATGCGTTACTGACCCTTTGAGAGAAAAACGACCAAGCGAATCACTCACTATGAGTACCTATCAGCCAAAAAATTTGTATTCCCATCTAAACCGACTTACAAAAAAAGTGCTATTAAGTGTTTAGCGAAGCAGGTGCATGTGTAACACATATTTTACATACATGTCGGACCTATTGGCTGTTCCTCGGGATTTCCTGGACTTGGTAGCAGTCAGGACAACTGTGAACTGCATGAGGGACCATGACCATATCGCCAGGGTTAGGAGTACTAGGACTTTCTCCGTGGCCACCTTCTCATCTTTGAAAGAGTCGAAGAATTCTATTATGTCCGCTGCCGTACCTTTGGTCGGAGAAAAAAAGAAAATATTTACCTTGATTGTATCTCTTTCAAGGGTAATTTTTAACATATTCTTTTTTAAAGAGTAACGAATGGATTTTTATAATAACTATTGTGAGAAATACTAGAGGTAAATTAACTAAAAATCGCGGGTTACTCACGTGAATATACTGAGAAAAGCTGTACTAGTTTCGAACCATGCGGCGATGTCAGTCAGTCAGTAGGCTGTAGGTAGCTTTTCTCAGTATATTCACGTGAGTACCTAACTCTCGAGTTTTAGTCAATTTAGTAATGAATGGAGCTTTTTGCTGGTTCTTTTTCATTTGAAATTCGAATTTACATTTTGGAATAAGCACCTAGCTTCACCTAGCTTCACTCGGTTAATCGAGTTCAAAAAAGACGATGTTGAAGTCGGTTTTTTTAAACGTAAGTAGTTTATATATACAAGAATTATTATGATTCGAGGGGAGTGTTCGACTAGTTTATTATTTTATTTTTTCACTATCATGAGCACACGGTGTAACTTACCCGATTGTGTCTTTCTCAATGGTCGAGGTGCAATATTTATCACAGGATACTCGAGTTTGACTTGCAAAGCATTAATATTTCAATTAAACTATAAACAGTTACTTTTGGAACGTCAACAAATAAAGAATATTCTGACAGTCTGTCCGTCAGTGAAGCTAGGCGCTAGTTCCAAAGTGTTTTATTATATTAGAATCAGTTGGCCTCCATCTCGCCTGGTGGTAAGCGATGATGTGGTCGACGATGTAGCACGCGTATGTACCTATGAGCAACCTGTTCACTCGGGACTTGAAGATCAAGTTATATTTGTCAACAAAAACAGATTCCGGCAAGGAATTCCATTCCTTAGCGGTTCGCATTAGGAAGTTTGGCGCGAAACGCTGCGTGCGAATGGGTGGAATGTCCACCATATAAGGGTGGCGCCCTGCCATTCGTCGTAGTATGATAGTGAAACAGACTAGAATCGATCGCACGTGTAGATTCGAATGGAGAATAACGACTACAGCTAGTCTATTACGTAACTTTCAATTCTAAAGATCGAAATGAAATTGATTGCTGTCCACCACGTCTTTGGTTTTGAGAATAATCTCGACCAATGACGTGCGAGAATGCGATCGAGCTCACTTTTAAAGTTCGAATAGACTGTCAAATTCTAAACTAAATGCGTTTCAACTGCAAATTTCAGTTTGAATGCAGTAGACACGACTGCAATATAACTGCAATCGGACTGCTCGTTTGGTTTGCAACCGTTTGGTCATGATTATTGCTATAGAGCTGCAATCGGAACGTTTGGTTTGCAGTTCAATTGCAATCGTGTCCACTGCGTTCAAATTGCATCCGAACTCCAATTTGTGTTTTTTTAAGAGGGGAATATCATCGAATGGCTGCTCCCGCCTGGGTGAGGCGGGAGGGTAGTGTCAGACTCTTACTGACTAAAAACCACCCCGTTCCCACTCCTGCCTTTGGAGTCGGAGCCCCGGCAACACGTTAGGTTCTCCGCGACTCCGAATCGGCATCGGCCCTATTGAGCCCCATCTGTGGTGGTCTGATGGCTCTTTGAGGCGCGCGCGGAACGCGACGCGCCGTACGCTCGGGTCTGTTTCTGGTCGGACGGGGAGCCACCCATGCTCGCCGTCCGCAGGCCCGCGCTTACGGTGGCCGGAGATCGTCCCGCGATCCCCGACGCCCGGTGTGTCCTTCGCGATGGCTGGGTTGCGAGGAGGCAGCGCTTCGCTGCCTCACGCGTCCCGCCTCCTCCTTAGCTAGCATGACTGCTTCGCAAAAGGAGGAGACGGCATCCCAGTCCCCCTCGCTCCGCATCATGGCCTGCACTAGGCCCGGACGCGAGAGGTCGCCATCGTCGATCACTTCCCTGAGGGCACGGCGGTGCTCAGTCCACGCAGGGCATTCCGCTACGGTGTGTTCCACCGTGTCCGCAGGGCGGTCCTCGCAGTGATGACACCCGGGCGTTTCCTCCCGCCCCATCAGACACAGGTACCTCCCGAACTTCCATGTCCGGTGAGGACCTGCGTCAGGCGGTAGGTGAGGACGCCGTAGCGTCTCTCAAGCCATTCCTCAAAGAGGGGTCTTACCGCTGCAATGGCAGCGAGCCCAGCCCTCGGTTGCGACAGTCGTTGCTGCCATTCCGCCATGGGATCGCGCCGGAGCTCATCCCGCCACGCACTTATCTGGCGCGGCAGCGGAGTTTCGCCCCGGCGACGTGCGTCCGCGCGCATGTGATACACGCGCGCGAGCACCTTCGCCTCGTCTTAGCCCTAGAGAATAGCCAGGTTGTATTAGTTTTCAAACTCAAACTCAAAAGCATTTATTTCAATTAAACCATAATTTGGTACTTTTGAAACGTCAACAAATATGAAATAAATAATAGTCTGTCAGTCTGTCCGTCAGTGAAGCTAGGCGCTCGTTCCAAAATGTCGATTCGAGTGGAGAAGAACGAGCAAGAAACTCCATTCGTTACTCTTTTTAAAAAAAAGTCTGTTTTACACTGCTCTGATACATATTCCAATATTGTACACACATGTGGGAATAATGTAAAGACATACCTGACGCATCATACAAATAACAGGGTGCTTATTCTTGAAACCAATCTCAATGTCAATGCAATTTCAATCCAATAAATCTCAATAATTATTCAATGTCAAAACTATACAACCCCTACCGTAGCTGTTGAAATATCATTCAGAGTACGGAATATAAAGCCAAACTCAATACCATTTAGTTCATTCAATATCCACGCAATACGGATGCAATGGGCGCTAGTGTTGCAACTCAAGAGTACGAAATTTCACAATACCAATGTCGATCGATCGGAATTGGATTCAAGAGTAAGCCCCCAGAACGTACTAAAATAAAAAACAAAACCAAGAGAAAACAAATATCTTAAGTCTGACATGGTCCTCACATATGTATACTGAGTTTAAATGACTTACCAATATACACAAGTAGCAGCTGGCTGAGCTGGTCCCTCGTCAGGTCTCCCTTGGGCAGTAACCACCGTCCCACGATGAGGGTAAGCATCAGAAACTGTTCAATGAGCGTCACCCACATGTCCGTGGGGATCTTCGTGGCGCCTGGTATGGGGAGGTCTGTCTGGGAGGCAAAAATAAGATGAATTAGAATATTTTTAATGTTAAACTGTCAAACACCGGTGACCGCAACCTCTTGTTCTTTAATTGTGTCTATAATGACGGTACTCAAAGGGATAAACAGACAGAGTATGGTTTTACGGCTGTTTTTGTTGAGACTGCCTCGTTGGCCGAGTGGTCGCAAGTGTGACTGCCGGGCAAGTGGTCTCGGGTTCGATTCCCGGGTCGGGTAGAGTATTACTGGTTTAAAAAAAGAATCTCAGTAGTAGCACGGAGTCTGGAATTGTGTCCGGTATTTTGCATTAGGCTCACCTCCTAATACATGGGACTGATAACATAAATAACTAGTAAAAATTGGGTGTTACCTTGTACAGTGGCATTATTTACCGTAATGTTCACCTCTGCCTTCCCCTTTGTGGATAAAACTCGTGATGTTATGTTAAGTTTTATAGCCTTTCTCGATAAATGGACTATTTGACACAACAAAATAATTTATTTGTTTATATCTTCTTCACACAAAATTACAGTGAATAGCGGACTTAATGCTTTAATGGGTACCAGACGGACGTTAAAATAAAAATTAGGCCTCTACCCTATTCCAATCAGTACTTTCGGAATTATCTATACAGATAAATACAATTTAGTTAAGTGTATATTTGTAATCTTACAATAACCGCTTTTACCTACATGTACATACAAAAAAAAAGTTAAAATAAAATTCGCACATGAAGTCGCGGGCAACAACTAGAAATAATTAAATTTTGTGAATATTTTTTTTTTCTGAATTTCATTCCAAACTTAGATAATTAATTAATGTTTTAATCCAAACAGATAACGGTTCCCAAACGTTAAGTAAAGGTATTTAACTCGATCAATGATATTATAAAGAAGATACGCTACGTTCATACTAAGCGGCGTCCAAAAATTGTTGCGTTCTTATTACAAATGTACTTAAATGTCATTTTCAACTACGTGCGACAGATAATACGGAAAGTATGGTACAGAAAGAGATAGCTATTATAAAATTACGACAATTGTCTGAATTCGTTCGCAACAATTTTTGCGTGCCAGTGCGATATCTACCTCTTTTTATTATTTATAATATCATTGAACTCGATGGAGTTAATAGTAGCGACAGACACTCGTCAATGTCTATCGCTTCCATGATCTGTAAACACTGTCAAGGGCTCTTCAAAGTCGGTTTTATATCAAAGTTCTATGAGAGCTCTTATAAAGACTTGACGTAACCTCTATATTTACAATAATATTTAGATTTACGAAGCTCGCAAAAACCTTACAGAAATACATTTTTTCTAAAAGAAAATTCAACTAGATATAGTAGTTTATTGAAACCTCTTATGTCGGAATACTCAAACGCTACTCAATTTTAAATCGATCTTAAGTATAGTTCTGTCTCCACGAATTCTTTGTGTAATGACAGAGATAGCAACGATATTTAAGCACGACTTAAAATTGAGTAACGTTTCAGTATACGGGCATTAGGAACGCAAATTACTCTTAAATACAACGCCTATCGATGGAAATTCATATTGTGAAATTTTGTACTCTTGAGTTGTAACACTAGCGCCCATTGCATCCGTTTTGCGTAAATATTACAACAAAATACCACATAACATCACGCCCTTTTATCCCCGAAGGGATAGGCAGAGGTGCACATTATGGCACTTAATGCCACTGCACAATGTAACACCCACTTTTCACTATTTATGTTATGAGTCCCATGTAATAGGGGTGAGCCTATTGTTAATACCTCCGTGCTCCGACTCCGAGCTACTAAGATTTTTGAAAACGCCCAATAATACGTTGCCCGACCCGGTCATCGAACCCAAGACACCTTGCTCGACAGTCACACTTGCGACCACTCGGCCAACGAGGCAGTCTAGTGTTTCATGTGCATATATTTCCATGCTAAAAAATGACATCTTTATTTTTTTTGTTCTTAGTTTATACCTACATGGAAAGTACTCCTAATGGGACGTTTAATTGCCGCGAGACGACAACGAAATATACAAGGTGTTGTTTTAAAGCCGAGTCATTTTCTAGGAGGTAATTGGCTATCGATTCTGAGTCCGAATCAATAACAAAAAATTTTAGGTAAATATTTTTCATTTTTCTGTAAATTACGGAAATCCGTAAGTGCGACATTCACGCCGCCGTCTTGTAACTAGCTTTATAACGCGGCTTAATACACACAAACTCGAACACGTAATTGATATTATTCATAATTCCATTAAACTCCAATAAGAAACATTGCTGTCGCTTATTTAGAAATACTGTCGAACTTAAACGATTTATTATAGCCGTATTTTTAACTATTGGCCCGAAACTTTCTCTTACATTGAACCTTTATGACTTCTGTGACATGCCCCCGAGAAATGCTTGGTTTTAAAACTACACCTTGTATTTCACGATGCATAAAATAACTTACCTCGACATAAGTCACGTTGATCGTCTTCTTCTGCAGCCTCAAGTCGACTTTGTGCAGCTCTAGTAACCATATCGCTGGCACAACCAAACCTAGGTAGATGAACACAGATGGACAAAACCTGGGGACAATATAATATTATTAGAAAACTTGAAAACTAGCATAGAGTTTACCTTACCTTTTGAACCCATTAAAGGTCAAATAAAAAGTACCAATATTATTTTTTAATTTTGTTTATTTTCGTAATCAACTGAGTGTATAAGAACAGTAAATGCAAGAAAAAAATAGAAAATAGTATTTTTCATGATAATTCAGGGGTGTACTCAATCGAGTACACTGAACACCTAAGTATGAAAATTTTTAAAACACGATATTTCTACACAAAGTGTTTTAGCACTTTTTACATTGCCAACGTAGGTACTTTTGAATGACAAAGGACTAGTGTCCGACCGAAGGTGTATTTTTGGCCGAAGCCGAAGCCGAAGCCGAAGGTTTATATTTTCTCAGCACTCAGTCAATTATTTTGTTCAATATTGTCTACAAGCTACAATTAATATTAAAATTATTTCAAAACCTCAATATTGAAAGTTTATATTGACTGTCTTATAAAGAAGTTTATGATATATCAAAGAGATGGTTGGTTTAGAGATTAATAAAAGTTTGTGATTTACCTACTGGTAAAAGTAATCATTTCTTTATTATGAATAATTTCACAAATTACAATTAGTTCACTCGTTCGTTTAATCTCGGCAGTCGCTCGACCTTCGGCAAAACCTTCGGCTTCGGCCGAAGCCGAAGGTTTTGCCGAAGGTGGACTTTTTGGCCGAAGGTGGCCGAAGCCGAAGCCGAAGCCGAAGCTTCGGTTGGACACTACAAAGGACACATCGTAGTTGCTTTTAAATTTTAGTGGATATTGTCCAACTCCATTTTGCAGGAGGGAGCACATTTCCGCCACGTAGGGTTTGATTTTGAAGTAGATTGGCGGTCAATGTAAATAATGTTATAAAAATATCACACTACCCTCATATAATTTATTAATATAGTTAGGCAATTTTATAATTAATTAAGATAATAGGGTTACCCTACAAAAATATAAGAGATATTAAGTTTATGCGTAGAATTTTAGGTGTACTCATATGAGTACAGTGACTTCTAATAGGTGACATCGCCGCGACGAAACTAGTAGAGCTTTTCTCAGTATATTCACGTGAGTAACCCGCGATTTTTAGTTAATTTAGTATGTCTCACGATAGTTATTATATAACGTTACTCTTTGATATTAGAAACTTATTGGTATTAAATCACACTGGATTTTAGAAACTCAGAAGGTAGGAAAATTATAGAGTACCACCTTCTTTATATGTTCTGTGAGTACCACCATTACAATGCACCTTATATTGTTAACATCGAAATAAAATTAAAAAATCAGGACTTGCTGACTGTTTATGTTATCGTTTAATAACTATTAATTGGAAAGGTTTTTCTTTCCAACAACACATAAATAGGAAAATTGACTTTCAAATAATGGAATAATGTACACCTCTGCCTACCCCTTCGGGGATAAAAGGCACGTATGTTATGTTATGACTTTTAAATAGATTAAAATTCCCTCAACACCAAATACCCCATCTTAATAACTTCCGAGTTCCCGCCATCTTTACTTTTTCATTTTTTTAGCGACAGCTTACATTTTTTTTTATGGCATAAGCCGGTAAACGAGCAGACGGATCACCTGATGGTAAGCAATCGGCGTCGCCCATGGACACCCGGAACACCAGAGGCGTTACAAGTGTGTCACCGGCTTTTTGGGGATTAGGAGTTTGAGGATCGTTGGGGATTCAGGGATTGGGGAGATTGGGGAAGGGGAAGGTAATTGGGCCTCCGGTAACCTCACTCACTCGACGAAACACAACGCAAGCGTTGCTTAACGTCGGTTTTCTGTGAGGCCGTGGTATCACTCCGGTCGAGCCGGCCCATTCGTGCCGAAGCATGGCTCTCCCACACTCATGAACTTATTGGTATTAAACCACATTGGATTTTGGAAACTCAGAAGGCAGGATAAAAAGAGTACCACCATTATAATGCACCTTATATCGTTAACTTTGGAATCAAATTACAAAATCAGGACTAGCTGACTGTTTTTCAAACAACAAGAAAGAAAAACAACAACAACACATAACTAAATTAACTTTCAAATAGATTAAAATTCCCTCAACACCAAATACGCCATCTTAATATCCTCTGAGTTCCCGCCATCTTTCCTTTTTCATTTTTCGAACCACAGGGCTTTTTGCCAAACGCCACTTTAGCGGTTGTCTACAGAGAGAGTATAAAACTAAATGTATGGGTATGTCAAAATTTACGTCAATCCCATATAATTTCGTTTTCTACTCTACATGTAGACAAGCGCTAAATGGCATTTGGCTACAGCTGCTGGTTACATTTTCCCGCCACGCGATGACGTTTCGTTTTTTTTTGTCTATGCTTCTAACAATATCATCTTTGTATATATAGTGCGAATACATACGGGTCGTGGTGGCCCGAAGGTTTAAGACGCACTGTTTTCATACATGAGAGTGCGACTTCGAAACCCATCAACGGCAAGTACCAATGTGACTTTTTCCGAGTTATATGTACTTTCTAAGATTATTTAGACACCACTGACAAACGATGAAGTAAAACATCGTGAGGAAACCTGGACTTATAATTTCTAATTATAAGTTTGAAATCGCCAACGCGGTTTGGTGATTTCAAACTTATAATTAAGCAAGCGCGATTATTAATGTTCAAACCTTGTCCATGTGAGAAGAGGCCTTTGGTATACAGAAGTCACTTATAGGCTATTGATGGTGATATAATTCAAATTCAAATTCGTCAATGACAATATAATTCAAATTCGAATTCGTCAATGATAATATAATTCAAATTCAGAACAAACAAACAGAAGCCACTTATAGGCTGCTGATGTGATACCTATATCACATCTAGTAAGTACCGACTGTGTCTTAGACAGCCTAAGTACGTCATCAGCACACGATAATTTACTGTTGGACTTTATTATTATGGAATAGGAGGCAAACGAACAGACGGATCACCTGATGGTAAGCGACCCACCCCGCCCGGAGTTTCGTTAAATTAAGGAGTGGTTGACGATAACGGGTATATCCAAGAGAAGTTGTTGTGCCAAATATATTCTGCAATTATCACATAAAAACGTTTACAATTTGATGTTCCGTATCATTTTTACCCATTCATTTGCATGCAAACTTGTGCGGCATCGTTAGTAGATAGCTATTAGTGACGAGGTGTGTCCGGAAACGCGACGGGACCCCGACGGGTACGTGACGGCTGACGGCTAATGTTTCAACACTAATCAATACCAATGATTGTGCTGTCAAAAATGGCTAGCTTAAAAGCCGCGATCTGGCGGTAAATAAAGAATATTATTTGAGCATTATGCGGCGTCTAAAAGAGCAAATTCGACCTAAAAGGCCAGATTTGTGGAAAGAAAATTCTTAAATTTTGCACCACGACAAAGCGCCTTTTGCACAAGGCTATCATTATGAAAATACCATCCAGCAACCACTATATTCACCAGATCCATATCCTTACTATATATATATATAATATAATATTATAAATCGGAAAGCGAGTTTGTTTGTTTGTTTGTTCCGACTTCACGCCGTAACTACTAAACCAATTGCATTGAATTTTTGCAGGCGTAAAGTTAGTAGTCTGGATTAAATAATAGGGTACTTTTTATCCCGAAAAAATTTGATATTCCCGAGGGAAAACAAAAGTATTGGTATAGATGGCGCTGTATGTATTGGTATATGTCACATAGGCCACTTTTTATCCTTTTGTGACGCGAGCGCAGCCGCGGGTAAAAGCTAGTATAGAATAAAGTCAGCAGGAGCCATCTCCTGCTGACTTTATTCTTTTTCCTAAACTCAAATTACCACTTCGTGGCACCCGTTTTCAATCGATAGAAGACATAGAGGAGAATTCGCGGCGAGAACTGAACTCAATTCCGGAAGCAGCGTTTAAAAATGTTTTGATGAATGGAATATTCCTTGTCGCAAGTGTATCGTTTCTAAAGGAGCATACTTTGAAGGTGATAAAATAAATTTGGATGAATAACAGACATATTGTGTATTATTGATCTTTTCCTGGTACTTTCTTGACAGAGTATTACATCTGATGGTATACAGAAACTACAGAGCGCCACCTACTACTCTCCTTACATACTTCTTTAGCTTACATCACATTCATACATTTGATGGTATACAGAAACTACAGAGCGCCACCTACTACGCTCCTTACATACTTCTTTAGCTTACATCACATTCATAGATCTGATGGTATACAGAAACTACAGAGCGCCACCTACTACGCTCCTTACATACTTCTTTAGCTTACATCACATTCAGACATCTGATGGTATACAGAAACTACAGAGCGCCACCTACTACGCTTCTTACATACTTCTTTAGCTTACATCACATTCACACATCTGATGGTATACAGAAACTACAGAGCGCCACCTACTCCGCTCCTTACATACTTCTTTAGCTTACATCGCATTCATACATCGATGGTGTTCAGAAACTACAGAGCGCCGCCTACTACGCTCCTTACATACTTCTTTAGCTTACATCACATTCACACATCTGATGGTATACAGAAACTACAGAGAGCCACCTACTACTCTCCTTACATACTTCTTTAGCTTACATCACATTCATACATCTGATGGTATACAGAAACTACAGAGAGCCACCTACTACGCTCCTTACATACTTCTTTAGCTTACATCACATTCATACATCTGATGGTATACAGAAACTACAGAGTGCCACATACTACGCTCGTTACATACTTCTTTAGCCTACATCACATTCATACATCTGATGGTATACAGAAACTACAGAGTGCCACATACTACGCTCCTTACATACTTCTTTAGCTTACATCACATTCATACATCGGATGGTATACAGAAACTACAGAGCGCCACCTACCACGCTCCTTACATACTTCTTTAGCTTACATCACATTCATACATCTGATAGTATACAGAAACTACAGAGTGTCACCTACTACGCTCCTTACATACTTCTT